GGGAGGCCACAGTGGCCTCCGGCAGCTCTGGAAGCCCAAGGATGCGAGGCTGAAGTCAAGGAGCTGGAGAGACCCGAGGTGCAGCCCGTCCTGGACTTGAAGGCTGAAGCTCCAGGGGAGTGGCTGGAGGAGGCCAGGCGAGCGAGCGGCTGAGAGGCGTCTGCCACCCACCGGCGAGCGGCGCCCTGGGCGCAGCGCACACATCCTCCCTGCGCTCCAGCTGGCCCCGCCCCTGATGAGCCAGGACCGAGCCACAGCCACAGCCGCGGCCCCGTCAAGCTGACAGTCAAGGCCCCCAGCCCCAGGGCTCGAAGGAAATCAGCTATTTTTATTATTAGTTTAGGAAAAGCAAAACACGAGGGGCTGTGCTCAGCAGAGGTGGAAAGGTGAGAGGACCTGTTGTCACAGTGTACTAAGTTTTCTGAGTAACCCCTCAGACGCGTGGGCTTCCTTAACCAGGGCTGCTCCTGACGCCACCCTAGATGCAGGCGAAACCCTGAAATAGGGTTTCTCCGGGCCTTCCGGCTCCACCCAGGGTGTGCGGGCCAGGGCAGCCGGCTCTCGAGAGGAGCCTGTTCTGCGTCCTTCCTGTCCCTCTTCCCTCCACCCTCTCCTGTTCTCTCTCCCTTCCTTTCTTGCTTTTCTTTCCCATTTCTTGGGATTGAACCCAGGGCCTGCACACTGAGCTAGATTCCCCCACCCCCCTTTTTGGGACAGGGGCTCACTAAGTCACTCAGCTGCCCAGCCTGGGCTCAAACTTGTGACCCTCCTGCATCAGCCTCCCAGAGTGAGGGGATTTCGGCATGAATTCCTATGCCCAGCTGTCCTGGGTTCTTCAGTGGAGTAGCACCGTGTACTGCGTGCTGTAAGGGGTTTTAGGGAACTCAGTCGCTACTTCTTTCAGACCAGAGCCTTCAGGTGGCCCTCTGAGTCTGTGATGGCGAACCTTCTAGAGCTTTCAATGATACGAACAGCAGGCTGCAGCACACATACCATGGTTTCCACCACCACCTCAGTGAATGCTTTTGAGGCAGGAGATTAGGGTGTGGCAAACTGGCTGGGGAAGTGGGCATGACCTGTTCAAATCCCACTCATGTGGCAGAACACTTCCCAAAGCCCTGCATGTGACTTCTCAAGAGAGCTGGAGCAGGTGTTTGCTAGGACGGCCCGGACCGGACTCAGCCTGTGGAGATCTAAAGTTCGGTCTGCACTGAGCTTTTGGGCACCGAGTTCTCCCTGCACGGGGTCCACCCTTGTGCTTCAGGGGCGCTTATTTCCCTGCTTTCACTTGGCCCGAATTCACTCCACAGAGCCTGTTTCTTTTCCTACCTTTCATAAATGTAAAACTTTGCTACCATTTGCGCTTGTCTTGACCAATTCTTTGCTCAGGACAGACAGAACCTTAAGCCAGCTCTAGCAGGAGACTCCAGCAACCAAACCTGGTGACACAAAGGTGTGTTGACCCGTGCATTGGCCCGGGAGGGGCTAAGTGCATTCAGCCCGTGTGCAAAGTCCAGAGCGTGCCCCACACAGACGACAGCTTAGCAGAGTCAGTCATTGTCTAGCTTCATCACCCAGTCTCTGGGGGCCTCAGGCAGACATCTGTTTACCCTAAAATAAATTCCTTGTGACAACACTATGAAGTCGGTGACTGTATATTCGCCGGGCAAGACCTGGAACACGGTCCTGTCTCTCAGGGCACAGCAAGCTGTAGCTGGCGTTTGTGGGTTTCAGTGACAAGGGCTTGGCCCACGCCGTGCCTGGAAAACCCACAGGTGTGGCGAAACCACACCTGTCCACAACCCAACCTTCCTGATTTCCCGGCCCCCCTGCCCAGAGCCCTGGTGCGGAAGTGGCCACCAGGGGGCGGCGGAGGACCGCGGATCGCGCATTGCGCAGCCCCTCCGCGACTTCTTCCGCACCTCTCCGGTACCTGCGCGCCATCTCTTCGACCTTTGCCTGCCGTGGGTCGCCGTGACCCCAGCAACGTCCAGCAGGCTCCAGCAGGTTTCCCAAGGCTGGTGGCTTCGTCTGGACGTTGGGCTAAGGGTCGGTGGCGCCGACGCTTGGCCGCCCTTGTGATCCGGGCGGACACCTCCTCCAGGTCCTGCCGACCGGGACTCAGGGGCCTCGGGATTCGTGCCCACTTCCTTGACTGCGCCGCTGTCCCCCTGTGGCTTCGGAGGTGGGTCTGGGTCCCAGGACGGGTGAAGGACAGCAGGGGCTAAAGCCAGCTTCCCTCCGGAGTGTTTTTGGGTCCTGAGGCCCTTCTGAACCCTCTCAGTGCTGCACAGAACCTGGGGTCCCTTAGGGTTCCCTATGGAGGAATTTGGCTTTGGGGGGATTGAGCCTAAGGCCTTTGCACTGAGCCACATCCCCAGCCCTATGTAGTTTTGAGACAGGGTCTTGCTAAATTCCTAAATCCTCCTGCCTCAGCCTCCCAGAGTGCACCGCCACCCCTGGCTAGGATTTTGGCCCTGAATGTTAGACTTTTGTGCCTTGGATCAGCAGCGCCTGACTGAGAGTGTGGGCTGCGGGCTGTTCACTGGTTTGAGAAGACGGCCCTGAGATTCACATTGTGCTTCCGTAGGGAGCAGAGCTGCAGCCCCTGCGGCCCCTGCTCCTGTGGGCTCAGTATGCGACTGGGGCCGAAGGGGACGGCGACCCAGTGGCGCCTGAACAAGCCCGTGTGGAGTAGGGCAGAGGCCCGTGCATCCTCCCCCTGCGCTGGGAGTCAGAGCATCCCAGGACAGCCTGGCAGCCCGTCCTCTCGAAGCGTTTTTTCCTGGAGGAAGGAAGAGCCGCTGTTGCCCCTGGGCTCTGTTATCCTGGCCGGCCTCGTGCAGTGCTCTTGCTGGTTTTGCTCCTGATCCCAGCTGATGCTCTGGACGCCTTGACCCGAGCAAGCACTGTGTCCGGCTCGGCTTGGTGCTCGGTCCTCTGCCCCGGAGGCCCCTCGCCTTGGGGATGGCAGGTTCCTGCCTCCCTTGCCTCCTCCCTGGGAGCCGGGCAGCAGGGGGCTCTTCCTGAGCTGTCCCCACCCAGGCAGCTCGAACCCAGCTGGGGTGCAGGTGCACTGGCCCGGCAACCCCAAGCCACTCCAGCCACCTGCCACCGAGTGGGACAGAGCCATCCCCTCCTACCAGTGCCACACCTCCCAGGGGCTGAGGGGCCGCCTGTCCCTGGGCGCTCGCGGGTGGAGCAGCTGTGACCCGGCCTCTGCAGCCTCCACAGGCCGAGACGGAAGCCAGAGGCAGCTTTCACTCCAGCTGAGCCTCAGCAAAGCCCTCGCTTTCCTAATGGCTTTGCTGAGATGTTCGCCAAGTCCAGGAGCCCAGGGACAGATCCGTCCTTGCTTGGTGTTTTCCGTTTCCACCTGGAGCAGAAACTTCGAAGTGTGGGAGGGATGAGAACGGCCGGGTCGGTGACTTTCTCTGAGGCCTGTGACATCATTTTCCCTGCTGGGCTACTGGGCACTTCCCTCACTGCTGAAGCAGACTCAGTGAGACTGCAGGTGCAAGGCGAGGCGCTCTTCCTGCTGCTTGCTCCAGCGCAAGGCGTCACTCGGCCTGCTCTGCACGGAGGTCTGGGGCCGCCCCTGGATGGATGCCAGGTCCAGTCGGCACTTGGGCTCTTGGCTGTGGAGCTCTCCCCAGACCCTGAGGGGAGGTGTGCCCAAGGCCAGTAACCCTGCTGACACTAGGGGTCACCAGCAGCTCAGCGGGACTGAGGACCTGGGGTCCCTAAGCTCCGCCCCAGCAAGGCTAACTATGGAGCAGTATTTGAACATGGATGTTGTGAGCCAGTTTCCATCTCCGCAGCACTCAATGAGGTGGATGGTTGTGCGGCTACTGAGAGAAAAGTAGGCTTCTCAACTGGCCAAAATATGCTCCCAAACCTCTTGATCCTCTGGGTCAAATTTTAATCTTCCAAAGCTGGGTGTGGTGGCTCACACCTATGATTCCAGGACTTGGGAGGCTGAGGCAGGCTTGTCAGTTTCAAGGCTAGCTTGGGCTACATAGTGAGTTCAAGGACAGGCTGAACTACATAGTGAGACTGTCTCAAAAAACAAAAAAAGAAAAATACACACACATATAAAATCTTCCAAAAGCGAGCTTACCCAACTTGGCACCATATCCAGGCGTCTCACCTCCTCAGAGTGCAAGTCTTTCTTGAGGCCAGGATGGAGTGACAAAGTAACAAAGCGGATCACTAAGCCCCTGGTGAGGAGGCAGGGCTTACTGGGAGCACAGTATGGAGACTTCTCCCCACACCACAGCCGAACTGTGACTTGGCAGGTGCTGCCAGTACCTTGCTCTAGGGATGGCTTAAATGGTGCTGCTGGTATCCCTGAGCAAACACCTACTGCTCCGGAGAGCACAGGGGCCTGGACCCAGGAGCCGGAGCTGCAGGAATTCTCACTAGGTTCTCATTTCCACACCCTGCAGCTGGCCTCAGCTCTCCCTTCCTCTGGTGAGCACCCCTGAGCCGTGGTCACTGAGACTTGAGGCTCTCTTGGCCAGCATCCCATCCCATCCCTTCCCGGTGCTCCAGGGACCCGAAGCCCATCTCCCCCACCTGGACGGCGGCTGCTACACCACCTGCACTTGCAGGGCAGCGCCTGGGGCCAGGGGTACTCTGGGTGTCGGGCAGACAGTACCCGGAACTTAAGACAGTGGATCAGCTGGCCAGGGAAGGCTGGGCACAAGCATAAAGGAGCTCTATCTGCTAAGACTTTAACACCTACGTCACGTTCTCATAAGTTCTGTGGCAACTCTCAGTTGGCCTGCAAGAGTAGTATCTCTAGCTGAGTGTATGTTCCTGCTTGTTTTCTTATTTTGAGATCAGTAAATGAAAAACACAGTACGTGTAACAAAAGCTTTCCTCCATTTCTGGAGTGACAGCAGCTGAGGCTAATCAGAAAGTGTCTGCAGAATGACAAGTCCAACTATGAAAGACAAAACATGTACCTTATCGCTCAGATTTGGGAGCATAACAGCTCATAAAAGAATTCAGATTTTTTATTGTTAAGCTGCAACATACATGGTTTAATACAACAAAAAACATTTAGTCAACTGAAAATAAACAATAAACACTCAAAATGAAATATTTTCCATTGGAAACATGTTAAGAGGAATACAGGGCTTCATTACCATCTGACTGCGATTTCCTTGTGTGTTTCCAGCCCATACATCCCATGTCTCCTGTCATGCAGATGGGAATGGAAGTTTGAATAGCTGAAGAAATAAAAAGTCCGTTCACTGCAGAGAATCATCTCACAAGGCAGCCAAGCTGGGTTTAGAGAACAAAATCATCCAAGAAACTCTCCTGTGTGTGGGCTCCTGTCAGAACCCATGAACCTTAAGCTGCTCCTCCTTGACAATGCCAACCTGTAAAGTAAGCAATCAGCAGCGTCACCCACGGACAGGTTGTCAAGAATAGTCAGCTAGCAGCTCGTGTGACACCCAACCCTGGCTGCTGGCAGCACCAACCCACCCTCCCTTGCCGTCTCCACCTCGGTGAGAAACCCCGTTCACATGTGGGCCCCTTTCAGGACCACACAGGGGGTAGCAAGTCTTTCTCTTACTCAATTACCTAATTCATTTTACTCATGTGACTTTTATAACTCAGGAAATAACTCATATTGCTTTTAATTTCAAGGTTTCATTGTAAGGCAGCCAAGCACTCACCTCCAAGAGAAACTGGCAAATGTTTTTCCTTTGGTCACCTTGAAGCTGAATAACCTCGCCGTACTCGGGATGTTCAATCACAGTACCATTACAGGCAAATTTCTAGAGGAAGCACATTTACAAAGGTAACTGGTCAAATATAATTTTTCTTTTACAATGAGGTTTTACTTCACCATGAGACTAAATTACTGTTTTAGCAGGCTTATCTTTAAGAAACAGATTGCCTCCTAAAATCCCGAACCCTCCCAAATTAATCTGTAAACAAATGAGCAGATCACATAGAGAAAACTAATTTTAGGTGGACATCCAGAACTAAGTATCTCATGCTTCATTCTGTCTGGAGGCCATGTGAATCCTAGGTTGGGACCATCCTGGGAGAACAGCCACATTTCTGGGTGCTATTCAGTGAAAATGCCCTTCCTGGGTCCCCTCGTTTTCATCCATGCTGATACACTCCAGCAAGGTGGGGCCCACTTCTTCGGGAGGTGTGCACCCGTCTCCCCCAGGACTGGGGATGGAACCCAGGTCCTCTGCACTGGGCCAAATCCCCAGCTCCTTTATTCACTTCATTTCTGAGACAGGGTCTTGCTGAACTGCCCAGGCGGCCAGAACCTGCGACCCTCCTGCCTCAGCTTCCCGGAGCGCTGCCCTGGCTGCTGCGGTAAGCCTTCCTCCCAGCCTCCACCTTTTTGAACGCCTTCACAAGCTTCTTCTTGTCATAGTCATCCGCGATGCCCTGGACCGTGGTGAGCGTCTTCCTGCCGTTGCGCTGCTGGATCCTTATATGGATGTAATCCTCGGTCCCTGCCGGGAGTAAGTCGTCACCCTTAGTGGCATCAGCGAAGGGGTCTGCGGAGAGAACAACGACAACACCCGGGGCTGAGGCGCATCCTTCGGCGGGCGCCGCGGCCCTGGGCAGCGCGCAGGCGGCGGCGGATTCCGGGGTGCAGGGCGGCGGCGGCGTCACCGTCAGCCCGGGTCGGCCCCGCAGGAGCCCGTCCCGTCGCCACGGCCGCGGCGTGCGTCATCGCGAGCGCTCGGGGCCCGGGGACGCGACCCGCGACCGCTCCCCGCGGTGCCACCGCGCCCTGCGGGGAAGAAACAAATGCGAGGCGCCGCCACGTCAGAGCCCCGGCCGCACGCCTCGTCCCCGCCGGGCCGTCCGGGGCCGCACGCCATCTTCCCGGCCGGCACTCACCGAAGGATTGGAGGTTCTGGATAGTGGACATGCGACACTAGTGTGAGGCCGGTGGGGACGAATTCCTGCGGGGCCCGCCCGGACGCGCGAAAGGAGGCTGCGGCGGCGAGAGGACGGGAGAAGAGGAGAAAGGAGGAAGGAGGCGGCGGCAGAGGGCGGCCGAGGCAGGCGGCGGCAGCGGCGGGAGCGGAACCGAGAGCAAGGTCGATGCGGCGGGGAAGCGGCGCTGCGGCTGCTCGCCCAAGATGGCCGCCGTCGCTTTTGTACCCGGCGCGGCATCACGTGACGCACGCAGTGCCGGCCGGGAGGCCCCGCCCGGAGGCCCCGCCCCGCCGCGGACCTTAGCCCCGCCCCTGGCGCGTCGGGGGCGCGCGCGCCCTCTTGGCTGGCGTGGTGGGGGACGGGCCGCGCGCGCCCTGCGGCGCTGCCCGAGAAGGCCGGGCCCGGGCGCCCTCTGCTCTCCGGAGCCTCACGGGATGGGGGCGGACGTGGGCGACAGGGGCTGGGTCTGAGGGACAGGCCTTGGACATGGGGACACTGGGCACAGTGGTTAGGAGGTGGACGTGGGGCAGGGCTGGACGCGGGGGACAGGATGCGCGGGGTTAGGGAACGGACGTGGGACGTGGGACGCAGAACGCCAGTCGCGAGGCCAGGGCCAGCACGTCTTCTGTCCGCAGCCCAGCGGGGCCGGGGCTCCAAGCAGAGGCCTCAGACGCCGGAATTCTAAACCTCTTGCGCGGGGCAGCCTTGGGAAGCCCTGCACGCTCTCAGAATAGTGCCCAAACCACGAAAAATAAAACCCACAGCACTGCAAAGGAAGCCGATTATGTCGAAATTAAATACAACACATGGAGAGCTTTTATGTGCTTCTGTAGTGATGAGCTGAGGCCTAGCAACAGGCCAAATGGCTGCTGTCATCTCTAAAGGCAGCAGATGCAGAAGACATGTTGAGATGTTCTTGCAGTCAGAGCTGTAACAGGAAAACACCTGTGGCCACTGTTGGTACAAAGTGTGGGGTTCCTCTAATACTTGTGTGATGTTGCTACATTCACAGTGGAAAGAGAAGTGAGATTTTGCTTAGAAGTTAATCACAATGCAGGTGTAATCTTTCCCTCCATCCAGTTGTAGGGCTATCTCCTTGGCAGTTTTATCCGTGGACCAAGGATTTGCAAACTGCAAGCTAAGAATACCTGACAATAATTGTCTTTGTGCTTAACGATGTGATGGATACCATTGAGTGCTTACTCTTTACCTCTCGCAGTATTATTAGCCTTTGTGACTATCCTATGAGATCCTCCCCTCCTCCTCCTGTAACATATAAAAAGGGAAGCTTTTGTAGGGTAAATAATTTGCCTAAAACTCAAACCCTTAACTCTCCGAAGTTTGTATTTTTGGTCTTCTAGTCCGGTTCCAAAAAAAAAAAAAAAAAAGAATTCCTTTGCCCGAAGATGTAAGGGTCCAGAGCTAGTTCCAAGGCAAGGAGAATCTAAACCCTTCTGTGGTGTGCCTTCCAGTAATCTTCAATACTTCAGTTTTATGCTGCAGTACTCCAAATTCCAAGTAAGTTTTAATACTCTGAGGAATGAACAAAGTGCTTTCCTGCCGGCTGCACACAACCATTCTGTATTGGACTGTTTCTCAGAAGGAGCCAGGGTGGGCCAGTGAAGGAGAGGAAAGAGAAGAAAATCCAGAAATTTCAGGGTTTCGTGGCCATTACCTCTGTTGGGAAGACTCACCCTCTTTTACATTTGTGTTGGAAACCACCAGGTGCTGATGAATCTTTAATGAAGCCAGAGTGGGTCAGGGTGGAAACACCCGTGGTTGTTAAAGGCTCTGCCAACTCTGGTCAGTCTTCTTGGTTTCAGACCTGTGGGCCTCGGGGCTCATGCAGTGCAGCCGGCTCAAACTGAGATGTGCTGTGGGTGCGAAATACACAGCAGACTTCCACAGACTTGACTTGTCTTATTTTCATCTGTTTCTTTTTGCTTTTGAGGCATGGCCATTAGAAAAGTTAAACATTTTGTGTAGTTCAAATTGCTTTTATTAGACTGTGTTGGTTTCAAGTGGATGAATTTCACCCATTTGTAAAGTTATCATAAAAAGAAAGTGAAAGCCAGGCATAGTGGCACAGGTCTGTAATCGAAGCACTCTGGGAGGCTGAAGCAGAAGGACTGGAAGTTCAAGCCCAGCCTGGGTGATTTAGCAAATTACTGAGATCTTGCTTGTCTCAAAATGTAAAAGTGTGTGGGAATGTAGTTCAGTGCCAAAACCCTGCATTCAATACCACAGTGGGGGTTGGGGGGGTGGGTGGGGGGAGAGAGAGAAAGAGAGAGGGAGAGGGAGAGAGAGGGCATTGAAAATTAGTGTATTTGCCTAGGTTGTGGTGATTGTTTCTTGCTGTATTTCAGAAAGGAGTTTCAGTCACTCAGAACAGCAGCATCAACTAAGGAATCAGGGAAGATAAAAGTTGAACACTTGGAAAGAGAAGCTCCCAAAGCAGGTCCCAAAGCTGACCCAGCCCCAGACAGTGAGGATGGACTCAGGCTGGGTCAGAGAGACTCTTGGTCTCTGGGATGGAGACAAAGCTGCTGAGAAGGGGGAGCTCTGCCCTCGGCTGCAGAGCTGCCCTGTAGGCCTGCGTGCAGGGGACGCCGTGACGCAGCTCAGCATCTCACAATGGTGGACTGTATGTGGCTGCTGGCTCAAAGCTGTGCCGTGGCCAGAACCCCAGTCCTTGTCCCCACAGGCTGCCCGCTGGGCAGAGCAGTGTTAACCATGCTGTGGACCCGAGCAGCCAGAGGGAGAGACAGCCTGCTGCCTCGCTCTGTCCCCTGAAGGTCGTGCAGACGTCTCCAGACGAGGGCCTCAGCTGCTGGCCACATGGCCCAGGGCTCTCTGCAGCCTGAGAGGTGCTTACTCATCACTGCTTTGTCTGTCCTTCACAGGGCCGCCACTTCGGCTCCTACCTCTTTTCCTCATGGTGTTTTCCCCGTGAATCTCTCCTACATTCATTCCATTTTTTTTGTTTGTTGCATTTTAGTTTTCTTGAGACAAGGGCTCACTAGGTAGCCTAGGCAGGGTTTGAATTTGCAATCCTCCTGCATCAGCCTCCCTGGCACTGGAATTATAGGCGTTTGCACCACAGCTGGCTTCTAATTCCATCTTGATGTCTAGCTCTCCAAGGACCCAGTTGATGCTCTTAACTCCAGACTTTGCTGAGGACACAACAGATAGAAAATCCCAGGTGAAAAACTCTGGTTATTATGCTAGGCTTTTCCTCTGGTAAACTATACCAGACTGTGGGAGGCCAGGAGAGCTTTTCTACTGCACACCTGAAGGGTTAACCAGATCAGGAAGCCTGTCCTTCTAGGTGTGCAGCCAGAAGAAGCCCCTTGTACTGTGCATGTCTGAGGGTGAGGAAAAGTGAGTGCATCGAAGGCAAAAGGAATGTTCCTGTGTTGGTAGAGAGCTGTGCAGTCTCTCCAGGCAGGCTCCTGCCAGTCCCCAGTGGGAGGGCCCCTGGGTCTTAGCCCTGTCAGTAAAGTGCGGGCTCCCCATTCCCAAGGGACCCCAGAGATGACCATGTTTCTCAGAGACCAAATACCAAGAGAAACCCCAAGAATGAGCATCCTCTGCTCACACTAAGCATCATAGCTTGTGTTTCTCACACCTCAGCATTCAGGGAGGGTTAAGCAACAATGAGACTGAAGTTATATTTCCTGTGTGGAGCTGTGTTGGCAGCAGTCAACAACATACATATTTCAGCTCTGCAGAGTTCAGTTGCTATTTGTACAAAATACTGCACAGGGATCAGAAGATGTACAGAAGAGAAAATCATAACCCAGGCCCTCTTTTCTCTCTTTTTTCTCGAGACATGGTCCTGCTGTTTTGCTCAGGCTGACCTCTAACTCCTAGGCTCAAGTAATCCTCCTGCCCGCTGGAAGACCAGAGGGATGGGTACCTGGGTTCTGTGTACAAAGGCACTTAATTACAAATATCGGTAGTGATGATCATCTCTGTCTGTTTATAAGCTATGACGGAATGCACAGGACTGGATGATTTATAAAGAACAAGAAACCAATGGGTCACATTCTGGAGACCAAAGTCCAAGGTCAGGGTGCAGGCCAGTTTGGAGACTCTTGTTCCAAGATGGTGTCTTGGGCAGCTGCGTCCTCCAGAGGGGTGAAAACTTCATCCTTATGCAGCAGAGCAGGAAGACCAGGAGACACAGAGGCCCAAACTCTCCATCTGTTATGGTGCAGGTTTGGGATTCCCCAAAGCCTCCTGTGTTTGGAAGGTGCCTGGGTCCTGGGGCGCCCTCGTTATCAGTAGGGTGAGTTCACAGCTGGCTTGCTGTTAGGAGGGGGCCTGGTTGGAGGCAGTCACTGGGGTGTGACCTGGCTCTTCCCTTCTCTCTTGGCTTCCTGGCCACCATGGTGTGAGCAGCTTTCCTCCACCAGCCCCTTCCACAGTATTGTTTTCTGGTTTTGAACCTGACGAAATTTCTGAAATTTCTGAAAGCATGAGCCAGAATAAACTGCTCCTCCTTTAAGTTGTGGGTGTTGAGTATTGTGTCCCAGGGAGCAGAAAGTGAAGTGACTAAGACAGCATTTTATAACAGCATTAATCCATGTATGAGAGCAGAGGCCATTCGGTCCCGTATCCCAACGCTGTTGCACTGGGGAGCAAGTTTCCAATGTGCAAATTTCTGAGGGGAAAAAATTCAACTCATGGCAACACGTTGAGGGCACCATGGCTGCAGAGAGGACAAGCGTCCTTCGTAGTCCCAGGCATGACACAAACGTGGCTCACTGTCCCCTTCTTGATGCCTGACCTCACCAGCCTCCTGCTGCCTTGGCTTCCGTAGAGCCAGGTGGTCCTGTGCATGAAGCTGGGGCTGGACAGAGACCGGCCTCGGTGGCCGCCGTCCTTGACTTCATGCTGCAGCCCAGCCTTCCTGACAGCTCTGCGTGGGGCTCTGGTCACAGAAGTCGTGTTGTTCTTGCCTTTGCCACAGGCCCTTGAGAGGTCGTCTCCCTGCAGACTCCCGGAGCAGTGCTGGCTTCATGGTCCTACGTGTGGCTTGCATGTACTCGGGCCCAAGGCCTCATTTGTGGCATGGAATTTAAGCATCGAGGCCTAAGACTTAGATCTTGTGTCTGTCCTTGTCCAGACATCCTTGTCCAGGCAGTCCGTTTCCCTGGAAAGGGCCTGAAATTCCTGTCGCATGGTTTTGTAACGACAGCATCAGAGAAGCATTCGGAA